ATTTAGCAATCTTTACTATGTCATCTGCAGACAGACAGACAGACAGAAAGACGAGCACACGCACCCCTCTGGGTCCTAAGCAGCCACTCTTACAACCCCAGTGATCAGATGACTTTGTATTTAACCCATTTTCCTTTTCGAATCCTTTTCTGGGAAATTATCCTGCAAGACTCAAGTCTTCCTCCTCAGCCCCACCCAGAGGCGGGAAGGGGGGTGTGCACACAGGTGGCTGGTGATGGGGGAGGCCGGGGAGGACCGCTGACACATTGTCTCTCATTGTCTCGGTTCCACAAGTGGAAACAAATGTACTCTTTGGAGTCCCCTTCTCATTCCTGTTACCATAATACAATCCTCCCTCCGAATTCGTGGGGGGCTGGCTGCAGGACCCTCCCCAGCTCGCACACACCGGAAGCCGAGTGCCTTCGCACGTAACCTATGCGTATTCTCTCACATGCTTTAAACAGCCTCTCTATTACTTACAATACCTGATACATGCACATGCTATGCGAATGGTTGCTATGCTGTGTATTGTTTAGGGAGTGGTAACAAGAACCAAAGTCTGTACATGTTCCATACAGACTCGTAGGCCTAACTATATAGTACATGTCAGCGACAACTTAACTCATTTTTTCTGAACAGTTGCCACCTGCCCTGCGGTTCCCTGAACGTGCAGGTGTGGAACCCGCAGATATGGGAGGGGGGCCGGCTGCACCACTTCGATACCCTTGACTTTGGTAAAGGAATTTTCACCTGGGAAGCTGACAGTACCTTTTTCTGACAGCAGCAAATTAGTCAAGTGGTGGTGGATTTAAACGTCACGTACCTGGAAAAACTACTGGACTCATAAATCCAAAACTTCCTCTACAGTGTGGACAAGGGGTGAAACCTGACACACACTCAAAAACCTTGAGCTCAAAAGGAAAATTCTCAGGAGCTGAAAAACCTGCGTTATGATTTTTGAGGCCTGACCTCTCAGCACGGCTTTCCGCCCACGCCCCACATCTCCCCCCGCCCCCTGCCCTGCCCCACCATGCGCACAACCCCCAACCCCGAGGGTGGCATTTACCGAGCAGCCACAGTCTGCACGAAGCAGCCGGATGGGGCGGACGTTCCCTGGGGCATCTGAGCAAGAGTATTAACTATCTTTCCATTTCCTTCTTGCTTCATCTCTCCCTAACTCTTTCCTTGCAAACAAAAATCCTGGAGGATTAGGTCAGTTAAATGCTGTAAGTGTAGCCACACGCTTGAAATGTTTGTTGTTTCTATTTTTTTAAGCTGGGTGCTGGAAACTGTGGACGTTAACCTTTTAACGACGCAACCAGCTCCCCATGCTCCGCACGCGCTGCCCTGGAGAATGCTGCTCCAGCCTCTGGCTGAGTTTCGGTAGTCTCCCAAGAAAGGTGGTGGGTGGCAGGCCGGCCCCAGTCCTCTGCAGCTCCCGCACTGGGCCTGCGGGTCCGCGCTCGCCCGAGCCCACCTGCTGCAGGGGCTCGTTAGCAGATGGCTATGAGCACTGACTCAGGAGCAGAGGTGGGCTGGAATCACTCTGCCTCGGATTCCTCATCGTGCAGCGGGCGGCAAGAGGAGTAGCCTCCTCACAGGTCACTGGGGACTGGTCCATGTGCTGGAGACCTTCCACCTGCCCTGGCCCACGTGGGACCCAGCCGGAAGCAGAGGCATTGACCCTCCCAGGTCTCTCTTGATAGGCCGCTGCGGGCCGGCAGTGGCTGTGTTCCTCTGCCAGAGGCCACAGGCCTGCTCTGGCCTCTCCTATGGCTGCTCCGGTTCCAGTAAGCCCCGGTTCCTGTTCCCTTAGACCTGGAGGGTTGGGTAAGGGCTTCCCTACACAGTCCCCCCCGGGGTGCCCACATCCTTTGTTGTCCCCCCAGCCCTGCCTGTGCCCCTGCAGGTAGACCTTTAGTGAACTGTCCCCGCTGAGTGTGCCCTCTGTTTCCTGCAGAACTCTGACTGATGCCCACAAGAAAGAGTGTCAGCTATCAGGTGTTGAGCACTTAGCTGTGTGGTTTACCCACTTTTTAAAATTTTATTCTGACTACAACACTGTATTTTACTTTATGCTGGCCAGCGCTGGCATCATCGATTCATACTGAGACTCAGGGAAGAAACTCATGTAGAATCAAACCTCTAGCGAGCAACAGAATCAGGGGAGGAGGCTGCGCATGACCCACGCCCTTAACCACCGGGCCGTACTGTCCCCGGTATCAGAGCAGGCGGTGCTTGTGACATGCTGTGTGCAGGAGACCAGCGGAGCCAACAGTGCTCATGGCCCTGGCCGGTAGCTCAGTTGGTTGGAGCATCATCCTGATGTGCCAAGGTTGTGGGTTCGATCTCTGGTCAAGGCACATACAAGAAGCAACCAATGAGTGCATAAACGAGTGGAACAACAATCGATGTTTCTCTCTCTACCCATCTCTACAAACCAATCAATCAATCAATCAATGAAATTTAAAAAATAATGCTCATACATGGGAGGTTAAAATAACAACCCTACCACACTAAAAAACCACACACCCCTAAACACATCCCCAAATTCCATTGTGACGTAACTCGAACCCAACCCTCTGGTTAAAACCTCATTCTGATACCACACTCGGGTTAGCCGAACCGCCACCCTGTTGTGAATGGAATGTCACTTCAGCCATAACCTTAGTCCACCCAGTCCTGACCCAAACACCCACCACTGTGGCCACAGTTCCAGGCGCCTCGTCAGGCTGAGGCTGGGTCAGCGCTGTGGTGAGCACAGGATGCCTCCCTGCCCCCTGGGTCCTGGGTGCCTGCCCCCGTCCCAGAGGCAGGAGGAGCCCTGCACCCCACTCCATTTATGTGCCCTGCTTGGACTTAACGTGACTGTCCAAAAGACATTTGGTGCAACATCCATGTCCTGCACATCACTGAGCTGGTGCTTTGGCGTGGGGGAGGAAAGGAGAGGACAGAGGAGGGCAGAGCATCCAGTACAGTGCCCGAAGCACAGAGCAGGGGCCGGTGACCCCTGTGGATGGTGATGATGAAGAAGGGGAGCTAGAAGAGGAAGAGGCTCGAAGTTTCCCCATCACTGTGCGGCAGCGGTGGGCAGGTGGGAGGCCAACAGCTCACATCTCAGAGGCTGTCGAGGGCTGGGGCCAGGGCTGGGCCGGGAGGAAGTCCCTCTCTGGCACCTAACCTAGCAAAGGGTAACTCTCAGCTCTGCGAAAATGCTGGAAAGGGGAGTCGTGCCGTCTTCATCAGAGATCTGGGGGCTGTGTCAGGCCATCGAGGCCAGATGGCCACCTGCAAACCTAAGGAGGTGAGGGAGAAAGGTAAGAGGAAGCGCACAGGAAGGAGACGCCATTTCTCTGGCATCTGCCCACTTGCTCTGCGTGGGGAGCAAGAGAGGCGTTAGAAGGCCCCGGGCCCCCCTCTCCCCTGAGCTTGGCATCTTCACCAACCCGGAGGTGAGCGCGCTGGCAGAGCAGGGCGGAAGGAAGGGGCTCGCAGGCTCTGCTGCACAGAGAGAGGCGCACAGCCCCCACCTTCCTCATGACCTCTGCCAGGACCCCTAGGCCTCGAGTCAAAACGTGGCCAGATTGGGTGCCCAGCTGCATCTGCCCACGGCCTGTGTCTTTCGGTCGTTCACTCAGGTCCCCTAAGGCCAGCTGCGGTTCTGCCCAGGCCCCGAGCCCCACAGTTCTCGGGTATTTGGGGGGTTGCAGAGGCACAGGTGAACACTGCAAGGTCCCAGAGGCCCACCTCCCTTTTAGAGGAACCTGGAAGGGGCCTCCACAGCTAAACCCAGCTGGAGAGGATGGCCTTGGAGCAACACGCTCTGTGGGGGAAATTGAGCCACCTCCCTCCGGGAAGAAGCCAGGGCCAGGGTCACCATAGGCAGCTGCACATGCCGTGCACAACGCGGTTCCTAGGGAGTCTGCCGTCGAGTCTGTAAAGCGACAGTCCTCTCCTGGTGTCGTGCCCGGCGCCTGGAAGGCCCTGCACAGAACAGCCTGCCTCCCTCCCCTCCCTGGCAGGAGCTGAGTGCTTCGGACCCACCCACCAGTTACTCCCAGTAGTCTCTGCTGGGCAGGGGCTGAGTGCCAGGGGACCCTGCACAAACCCCAGTGTGGCCCACCTGCACCTCCAGCACACTCTGCAAGCAGTGGGGAGGGGGCTGTGGGCAGTGAAGGCAGGTTGCAGCCGAGACACATGTCTCTTCTACTCTTTCAGAACGTAGCGGCAGGGCTTCTGTGACTTCAGACTTGGGACAACAAAGCCCTTTCCGTTTGTTCTGGCTGGAGGCCCGTGAGGGAGTATCTCCCTCCGACTGCTCTCCTCTGAGGGCTCCCTGTTCCAAACCCACAGCCCCAGGGAAGGGTTCATGGGACTCCTCTGAGGGCCACGAGATGGAAGAAGCTGGGAGGAGACGCCTTCACAGATGACACAGCCCCGCGCCAGACTCCCCACTCCCCTAAGGGTTTGCTAAGCCCTGCTCTGGCTGCCGGCAGTCACCCTTACGAGAGAAGTACAAGAAGTACGGCCCTCAGCCTGCCCTCGCTCCAGACCCCTGCGGCCAAGGGGCACAGGCTGGGCAGGTTCCCCCTTGTTGGGAGCATCGGGAGAGCCCCTTCCTGCTCAACTACAGGCTGGGGGAGGGGCGGAGTGCAAGCTGGGAAGGGAATGGCCCGAGGCCACGGCTTTTGCTCCAGGAGGCAACAGGGGACTGATACATCCTGGCAGAGATGTTCCTTCGGTAGCTGTTTATTGAAGCTCCCTGTCTGTTAGGAACCGTTCTGGGAGCTAGGGATACATCTGAACAACACGAAGACCCCGGCCCTTGAGGACCTCACACCGTATTTGGGGAAAAACAGATGATACACAATCGACGTAGTAAATGATATGTCGTGTTAGAAAGTGTAAAATAAAGAGTAGTGTGGAAATAAAAAGTGAGCCAAAGGAGGGGACTCTCAAGTTGGAGGTTTACGCTATTATCTATTTTTCTGCCGCGTTCATGTCAGATGGGTCAGGTGCCGATGCCGGGAAGAGTCTGTGGGAGGCACACGTCACACGAGAGCGTAAACACCCAGTCATCACACTCATGAACTACCGAAGGGTGGCAACACGATACTAAATAACAGGAAAACAGGAGGCATCTCCCTCTGGGAAGGAGCGGGGTCCACCCCGGCGGCAAGCCCTGGACGACGGAGCGGCTGCACTTCCGACGGAGGCTCCCAGCGGGAACCAGCTGCAGTGGGCGCCGGTGTGGCCAGCCCCCACGATCTCTGTCCCCCGATGTCATGCCTTTGGACATGCTACATTAAATGGCCAGGGGAGATCAAGATTGCTGATGGAACTGAGGTTGCTAACCAGCTGCCATTAAGACGGGGAGAGCATCCTGGGTTGTCCCGGTGGGCCCCATGTGACCACAGGGGCCCTTAGAAGTGGGGAAAGCAAAAAGAGTCAGCGAGAGAGATTCAGCCAAAGAGGGAAGCAGACGGGATTCGAAACGTGAAGAGTGCACCTGCCATGCCGGCTTTGAAGACAGGAAGGTGGCCAAAGACGAGGAACGTGGGCAGCTTCTGGGCACCACCACAAAGAAATGGGACCTTAGTCCTACGACTGCACGGAGCTGGGTCCTGCCAACAGCCCAAGGGAGCAAGGAAACGGCTCTCCCCCAGAGCCTCCAGGAGCTCAGCCCTGCGACACCTCGGCTTTAGCCTGGCCAGACCCACGTAAGAGGTCTGACCTACAGGACTGGGGGATAGTAGTTTGCATTGTTTTAAGCTGTTAAATGTGTGGCAATTTGTTATCCCAGCCACAGGAAACTAATACGGGAGATATAAAGAGATGAGGTGTGCAGAGAAGAGCTGCCTTCTGGGGGCGCAGCCCACGGAGAGCCACCACCATGGGGTCCACATCTTCCAGATACCTCCCCTCCATCCCCACTTGCCGTGCTCAGCCCGGCCTTCTAGGCCCCTGTTTCCGGAGTACTGAGCAAGCATGCTTAGGTGTCCCCAGGGGCCAGCCTCTAAGTCCGCAGGTCAGACCCACAAGCACACCCAGTGGAAGCCCCTCCCACTCTGACCAATGTCGTGACACCTGCCCTTGACACCATCTGCCATAAAGCCAATGAGACGGGTCCTGGTAGAGCAACCAAGATGGACAAAGCCACCACTGGTGCTTCTGCTGCTGCTTCTGCCAGTCACACCTTCCCTGAGGCCGGGCCTAGGCTCTGACATCCCCCCAGAGCAGATCTGCGTACACAAACACACATGCATGCACACACATGTACAATCACATGCATGCACCCTGGTCTGCTCTTTGCCACCGTCTTCTGTCCACTCATGTCCCCAAGGCAAAGAGAACCAGACCACTGACAGCGAACAGGTGTTGTGACTGGTTTCTAAGGCCTGCTGGTCTCGGGTTACTGTAACCACCTCCTTCCCCAGTCTCTCAAGGCCCTTCCCCAGCTGCTTGGCCCTTGCTCTTCAGGTGGGCAGGCCCTCGGCTCAGCCTTGGGGCACAAGCCTCAGCCTGGGGCCTGGAAGGAGCACCGAGCCCAGCCCACAGCTGGGCAACATTGCTCCACGTCTGGCCCTCGGCAGAGCGTCCTGCCTGCTGCCTGAGACTCTCCCGGCCCCTCCCTCTCATCTTCCTTCTGGGCCACAGGTCTTTCAGCCTCTGTGTAATCCTGTCCTAATGGAGGCCTCTGGCCACCACCAATCCCTGCGGTGTCTCCCCCTCTTGGACATTTTGTACCCCTCTCTTGCTTCTAGAATGCCCCTGAGCCATGCCACTCCCTGTAGCTGGACACCAAGGGCTTGTCCAAGCTGCCGTCGGGACAGAGGCAAGCGCTGCTTGGGAAACCTGGCCAAGCTCACAGGAAACGTCTGACATCACAAGGCAAGCAGGGTTTGGTCTCCCAAAGCAAAACACAGCTGGGCCGATGGCGGGCCACTCGGACTTTCCCAGACTTCATGGCACTGAGGTCCCAGGGCAGAGAGAGGACTGGGCGGCCTGGAGACTGCAGCTCATTAAAAACGTCACAGTAGCCCCTGGCCAGGGCGCCTGGGAAGCTCGGACGGCAGCCTGCTGTGGCCCACAGACCTCACCCCGGCTTTTGCCTTCCAGCACCTCGTGCTCGCTCAACACTTGGCTGAGAGATCAAAGGTTCCCACCCCTAGCTTGTCCTCCTTTCTTCCCAGCATCTTCTGGTCCCCAGCATCAAGTCTCATGCATTTATTCACTGGGCTTCTGTTGACTGAGCACTGCAGTGTTGGGTACCAGGGCCGCAGTCACGGACAGAGAGGGGCCACAGTCCCTGCTCTCAGGAGCTCCTGGTCCTGTGAGCAAATAAACAGACCACCCCAAGGCAGAGTGGAAAGTACTACACAGGAAGGCAGGGCACCTCACCTCCTCCTGCACTCTCAGCAGCACAGGGGCCACGACCTCGGTCCCGGGCCTGGGGTGAGGGTTGAAACACCCACTCTTCAGTTAGGACCAAGTGACAGAGTGCAAACTCAGACTGAGCGCTGAGATGGAGCCCCTGCCTTCCAGGGCACAGACTCGCGGGGATGCGCCCCTAGTGTGTGCCGCAGGAAGTCAGGCAGCTGGGCGGAAGTGATTGGGGGGCGGAGGTTTGGAGGAAGCAGGAATGGGTCTTGAAGAATGTAAGGAGCAGGCAGGGTGGGCTGGCAAGACGGGTGATGTCAGATAGCCCTGACTCAAGGGAGGGAGGGCAGAATGACCTGCCAAGCAAACACTCTCCGACACTCACAGCAGATCAGGGCATTATAAATGAATGAATCACGTAAGCCAAAAGACAGCTTGCAGGGGGAAAGCCCCGCTGGAAGGACTGCTCCCACCCTGTCCCCGGCCAGCTCTGGAGCTGGCCCCACTGGGGCTCCTCCAGGCGCCTTCCTGCCAGCTGGGACCCACAGCTGAGGCTAACCAGAACCAGGCTCAAGCACTGCCCACCTGTCCCCTGCGTTGTCCACCTGGACCCTTAGCTCTGCCCCTCCCTCTGGCTGTACCAGCATGCCCAGACCTTGGCCCAAGGGTTTGGCTCTTCTAGCTTTGACCTTGGAGTTCCCTGGGCTTCGACCTGAGTTCGTCTGCTTCTGGCTGCCTTTGGAAACCACCTGTTTGGGTGGTCAGGCCCTGGAACCCCACCTAACCAAGACCCTGGTTGACCTGCCCCCCTCTTCAGAGTGGCTGGACCATCTCAGGCTCCTTTCTTTTCCCTCCTGAGCTTTCAGGGTCAGAGCGGCGGGGAGGGGGGCGGCATCTGACCTCACAGTCAGCCTTCTCTCCCTGGTTCCCCCGGCCTCCGAAAGGGCAAATGATTTTTTTCCCTTAGTTCAGCAAGACAAGGTGGCAACATTTCACAAAGAACTTCCGAAGTAGAAAGAGAATGGAAAAACTAACCTGAGAAACCAAAAGGAAACACAGCTCTCTAGAAATGGACCAGTTTACAAAGTTCAGGTTTCCTGTCCGGAGCTAGAGAAAGTCTAGCCAGTTTGGCTGGCAAGCAAGCCAGGAATCCTGCCCGTGAACATTTCCTTCGCCCCTTTTTCTTCTCCTCCCTCCCCCACGTGCTCCTCCCCTTCCCCTCCGAGGAGAGAGGTCAGCGCTGAGCGTGAGTGACTCGAAGGGGTTTTTTCTGCCAGAGGAGCACTGCCTGCATGCGCCACAGAGACCACAGACGGAGAAGGAGAGACGTTTTTAAAGGGTTCACTGTGTGCCAGGCACTGTTCTGAGCACTTTCCTTGTGCTAACTAACTTAATCCTTACAACAATTCCATGGTCATTGTTATCACTGTTGACCCCATCCCACCGATGAGGAATCAGAGAGATAAGTTGCCCAAGGCCACCCACCTAGGCAGTGGCAATGCCAAGACTGTAAACAAGAGAGCCTGGTCCTAGCCTCACCAGCCAGGTGGCTCAGTGGGTTGGAGTGTCACCCTGTACACCAAAATGTTGCAGGTTTGATCCTGGTGAGGGCACGTACCTAGGTTGTGGGTTTGATCCCCTGTCGGGGTGCCTATGGAAGGCAACCGATCAAAGTTTCTCTCTCACATCGATGTTCCTCTGTCCTCTCTCTCCCTCCATCCCTCCCTTCCACTCTCCCTAAAATCAATAAATATAAACTTGGGTGAAGATTTTAAAAAGAGAGAGAGCCTTGTCCCAGGGACACCTCCCGCCTCCCCTGCCCGCCCCAGCCTGGCAGAGCCTACGCCAACCCCAACGCCTGCTCACCTGCTCTCCTCTCCACACCTCCTGTGGGGGCAGGGAAAGGGGGTAACAGTGGGCGGAGGGAAGGAAGGACAACTCTGGCTTTCTCCTAGATCTTCCCCAAGTGGTCCTAAGGAACAAGCCCCAGACCCCATGTCCCCCCGAGGAGGGGCCTTACCTGGCCGGTGGCGGCTGTGGTGTCACTGGCCGTGGTCTGGCTGCTGTGTCTTCTCGGGCCGGGCTGCTCCTGCGCAAGTTGGGGGAGCCCTCGGCTGAGCGTCGGGGGGCTGGCCTGGAGTTCTGGGGGTCAAATTCCTCCTCGGGGATGACCTCCTCGCAGTGGGCTCCGCGGAAGCCCGAACGGCACACGCAGAGCTGGGGCCGGCTGCAGGAGCCCCTGTTCTGGCACGGCGGCTGGCACACGGCTAGGGAGACAGGGGGAGGGGTGAGGGCAGGGGCCGAGCGGCCGGCACCCCCCTGTCAGAAGGGCCCCTGCCTTGTGCTGCCTGGCCTCCTCCACTCAAGCAGGAAGCCAGCTGCTGGCTCCGAAGGCTCCCTGGCCCCATTGCTCTTGCCCCTCCACCCGCAGGCCTCAGGGGTAGGCTCGCCTCTTATCGTCATTAAACAACCAGAGGCTGAATGACCGGGGGTGTGGAGCCACTCACACCACCAGCTCCAGCAGAGCCTCCTGATACCGTGCCACTCACTTAGGAGCCCACTTTTTGTGGTCTCTGGGCCAGACTGGAAGCCCCAGGAGGGCAGACGCTCAGATGTTTTGTTTTGTTCACTCCTGGAGCTCCAGAACTTGGAACAGAGACTGCCACAGAGTAAGTTCTCAGTAAATGATGAATAAATGAATGAATGATAAATGGGTCTCGTTA